TCTCTCTCTCTCTCTCTCTCTCCTGAGGAAACTTAAACCTACTCGTAATTTCCTATACGTCTGATACGCATGCAAGCTTCCATCCGACGGTCTGACGCCAACGCGCGCTATTAGAAGTCGAATCTAGAGGCGTCTGCCAGATCGTGTTCGACTAATCGCGCCTCTCCGCTCTCGGAAACTTCCTGAAACGAAGTTTGAAAAATCGCCAGGCTCTCCTAATTGAAACGAATCGAACGAGACGTGGGCAAGCGCATCGCCGCTGTCTGCCGGAGTGATGTATGACTGGATGGGTTGAAAGGTGAAGAAGAAGAAGAATGTTACAGGAAGAGTTCGAGAGTTTAGTTTAAATTAGCGAAATTTTACTTCCTGCTCTCGAGTCATACATCTATTCCCCAAGGCAAAATATCTCCAGACGGGAGAATTTTATACAAAATGAGGCAAATAAAAGAAATACATTTCGTTTATTGAATATTTAATGCAGATTTTTCTATAATTGTGACATTGGATGAGTACCTTTAAAAAATTTAGGGACATTTAAGAAGTAAATTAGTGAAACTTTGCTTCCTGTTCTGGAAGATCATGCATGTAGTACCGAGCCTTATCTGCACTCGATCTAATCAGTGCAGCGAGATACTCAGTCGCGTCGTGGCAATTTAATCCCGAAGGTTGAAAGGTGAAGAATGTCCCAGGAAGGGCTCCGAGGCTTTAGTATAAATTAGTGAAATTTGAACTTCCTGTTGTTGAATCACAGACATAACAACGAACTCGCACCGAGCCCGGGAACGTGTTATCTGTCAATCTAATCAGTGCAGTAGGGGTAGGCTCGCGGCAATTTAATCGTGAAATCGGCCAATTCATCTGAAGAACGAGCTAATAGGTAACAGCGAGGGGGCGAGAGAGGCTGTTTGAATATTCAAGGGAACTCCCACGGGGAGGAAGATAATGGAAAGGCGAACGGATCGCGGTTGCACCGGCCCGGGCAATTATCTCTCCCGTATCGGCCTCTAAAAGCCATGGAACCCGCCGTTTCACCTCGTGGCAAATATTTAGCGAAATCGAGGAAGTATTAGCGTAAGTCGCAACAGGCTCGGCTGTAATTAAACGTCCGAACAATGACCATTGTCCGAAACGCGATAAAGATTGCCAGGCCACAATGCCGCTCCTTGTTTATCGACATCCTCGATATCCGCGGACCTCACATGCAGGTTTTGCCAGCAGCTAAGACCGAGTAGTCGACCGTGACTCCTCGTCGCACCCGTGCCTCTTCCTTTACTATCTTTCCCACAAATTCGTTACGTAATTCGTATTATTCGAGCGGAGCTCCTCGGCGATCGTGCGTCTTTCAATTTTACGTTCTGCATCTCGCAATTTCCAATCAGCAGCTCGGCTCGATCTCACAGCGGTTATAGGTTGAAAGGTGAAAGTTTGGATATCGTGAGATAATGACGGTAGGAACTGGTAGAACGCGATAAGGGATGATGCCGGGGAAAGCTCGGCCGAAAGCGCAAAAGCCAGAGTAACGACTGGAGATAATAATATCGCGGATCGTGGTACGGGTGGTATTCTTCGATCGGGACGCCAGGAACCAGGATAATGCGGCATTCCCACGAGGATAACGCGATATTCGAGACCCGGGCTGACCCAGATTCCTCGACGAATTCGCTGGACTTTTTTTAAACAAACAACGTCGCGTGATCGTCGGAGGATCGATCAATCGCGATTGGCTCCTCTCGTCCCGGTTTTGCTCCTTGATTTCCGCGACAGCGTCGGATAATATCGTGACAAGGAGACGTCGAATTTCCTTGGGTGACGTCGCCGATGGCGCCGAGCTCCCCTTTCCTTGCTTAAATTCCGTGCCAATCGCTGAAGGAAATTGGGAGACAGGTTCGACGGCTGATGGATTGGTCTTCCTTTCATTCTTAAATTGTAACTTGAGATTGAAAAAAAAAACGGTGCATGACTCGCAACGTTTAGATAAATGATACGGCAATATTCTTTTATGAAGTATCATCTGAAACGATTATATCTATTGGTTTAACTATAGAACTTCAGAAAATAAATTTAGGATCCACTGATCGAATAAAAAATGTCTTTTTATCAGGGAATAATTGTTTGTGTAAAACGTGGATTCACATCGACGACTTACTTACTTTGTATGCATTGTAATTCGTGTCGCTTTACCACATTAACGAAATAGTTCTAGGACAAAGCAGTCTCGCCCACGCATAGTCGCAAGCTTTACGACTCTCAGAGTAGATGATGAGTCTCGCGTCCCATTTTCTAGATTCCCCTGATTAACTCGTACGTGAGAAATTCACCTAAAACTCGTTGCTCCCGTTCGAGCTTGTCCCACGATCCGAGAGGATCAATCGTCCATCGTCGAGCGGAAACACAATGAGCGCGTTCAAGAAAATTGCTCTAATCACGGTGAAAAAGCTTGAGCCATGTAATCGTGGCATTACGGCAAATGAAAAGGACTTTCCAGATCGGATTTCTTCTTCGTTCGCTGGTCCTCGCCGTTGACGAAGCTTAGTCACTGCGACGGGCGATCGAGAGCGCCTTGGTCCAGTTTTCACGCGCTTTCTTCGGGTACTCCTTATTTTCGTTATCCTTTCCCTGCCTCTCATAAAACCGAGAGAAAAATGTTTTATAATGGGAC